AGGTTCCTGGCCGCTTTTACGACCAAAAGCTCTTTGATGCTTCATTTTATTCAACAAACGTGAACGATAAAACAAGGACTATTAGGATAAGACAGTCTGAAGAAGATTATGAATTTTGAGTTTGTGCAAAAAGAACTCCGTTCAGTATGCTACGCGGGATTACTATTATTGTAGCGGTGTAAAAAAACCGTCGTTTCTCTATACTATAGGTTGTTTGTTATAGAGGTTCATAATCAGTAGTATATGCTCTAAATTTATCTAATTTAGCAAGTCTTATTGTTATAAAGAGATTGAAACAAGGTTGCGCCAATCTTCGTGTCCTTTCCGTCAAACGAGTTCTAATCTCGAGGGCCTCTCCGAGACTTTCAGAAGAGGAAGAGAGCCTATTTTACAGAGAAAATTTGCTCAAGGAAAGATGTAAAACCCATTCCTTCGATTCTGTTCTTCTGGGTGATGTCAGCTAATCTGAGAATTTCTGTATATATTGTTCCTTTTTTGGTTAAGCTTAGGGACCGGCCATACTCTTCCAGAAGATGATCCCTGCGACTCGTGTAACTCGTGCAGTTCTTGTGATTCCTCGACTTCCAATGTGCCGCACTACGGAGCACTTGCGGATTTCAGTATACATTGGTTTTTCGCAATATGCATTGTTACAGGACCCGCAGCAATTACAGGATTCGCAGGACTTGCAGGAGTCACAGGAATAGTATGGCCGGTCCCTTACAGGTCGTATAGTCACCTCCCCCTTTTTTTTTGAAATAAGGCGTCCCTTGATTGCGTAAGATTCTGTCACTCTACTCACCTCTCTCATGCGAGTGAAACTTTCTGGAAAAACTATCATTGTTACACTTGACGGGTAAAATCTTCTTGAATTTTTTGCAAGAACTTTCTCCATCAAATTATGAGGTGGGTGCTTTTCATACACAGTTCATAAAAACAAAATTCTTGAATTTTTAGATTTCGAGCTAGTTTTGGCAGATTCCCGACCTGCATTATTGAAGAACTGGAAGTTAAGAACTGCTATATCAGCGCCGCTGCTCCCGGAAATCAGTAAAGGTCTGAAAAAAAGAATGAGTGGCTTTTCAAAAGGTAAAGATATGGAAGTTGAACTGCCTTCAACATTTATTTATTTATTTATCAAATACATCGTAAACGATGCATCACCATTTGCCTTTATTTTTTCTAACTTATGTTAGAAAATTTGACGTCTGAGAAATCTTTGTTATTTTCTCATATAAGCCAAAAATTCTTTTCCAGATGTTGCCCAAGCCTCCAATGTTCCCAGATGAGGACGAAGAAAATGCAACAAAAGTTATGTTAGGCCTAATATGTATGCATTCATGGAAAAGTGCTGAGGGTGTTTTTGGCTAGAAATGACCAGCAATTGAAACTAGATTTTGCAAAGACGCAGCAAACAGCAAGGAATTTTCGCTATTTTCCATTCTGCCTTTCCCGCGCTCTAATAGCCTTTCTTTCAGCAATGACTAGCCGCACCACATTCAGCGAAACCAAATGTTCTACACATCCCCATCCGATCAATCCACCTTTAATCTTCACTCTGATGTAACAAAGAGCGACATGGATTTCCTAGGCTAGATTGGCAAAAAAAGTCGTGCATTACTAACGCAGAAAAACGTGACGCAACGTAGTGCAGCGCGGTGTGACTGCGCGCTTTGACGAGCGCGCGGTCAAATAAGCGTTCACGTGCGAAATAGAAATGAAGCTGGCTACATGGGTGTCGGATTAGTCTGGTTTGGCAACGTATTCAATCAAGGAAAATAGCATGTGGCAATGGGCCAAAGGAGGAGAAAAAAGGGCGGCCGACAATAGGTCTTTTGCCGAAAAAAATCAAGAAAAAATGATTTCGGAAATATTCTTTGATACGGGCCATCCTTTTCGCAAACCGACTCGAAGGCATCGCTCTGCCCAATTATTCCATTTCCCGACTTTTTTTTTTACAGAAACGGTGGCTCTGCTGAGACTAGGCGCCTTCCTTTGACGCCTTCGAAATGCGATTGAACGTTGAGAATCCGATTAATCTACCACAAGAAGTTTTATATTTCCATAACCGGGCCAAGCTCTGGGGGCTGCAATCGTATGAATCTTTGAAAAGAGAGCGAGAAGAACTAGAAATTCTTGATTTCGCGTTTTTTCATTTGCTAACGTAAGCATGATAGAAATGAAAAACTAATGAGATTCGTGGCACATCGTTATCGAATTTTGTAACGATGAATGTCAACTTAAATGAGTTTCTCGGTGGGGCAAAAAATTGGAAATTCAGTAGAAAGGTTGCTTGGGCTTCTCTAGCGCTATTTGCCAAATTTTAAGGTTGTTTTTACTAACCAAATTGCAGTTTTTTGGAATAATAAAGGCCATCTGAACTCATTCGACGAAATACTGGGCAAATCATTTCGATCGAACGATTATTCGATCTCGACCCAATAACATTCCATAATATTTTTTTTCAAACTAAAGTCACGTGTAGTGCGTTCTAAAGGTATTTATGCGGTTCTTGCAAAAAAATAAACAAAAAAAAAACTCGGGAAATTAGGATATCGTGAATTTTTTTCTGGGAAAAAAAGAATTGCCCTTCGTTTGCCTAAAATTTATGATACTTCCTTTGTATTTGTAATTGTCACGAATACAGTCGTAGACATAGAAAAACCAGTCCTTAGTCAAAAAAAGAGCAATCCTCTTTCCTAAAAAAAATTTACGTTATTCCCCATAGGTCTCGAAGAGCCAAGCGCCAGATAAGAGACCAGAATACTTGGATATTGAGCTTTTTCTAAAGATAACGATCGCGTGGGCGACAGTCTGCTTTTTTTGCTGACATTTTGCACCATCAGTCAATGAAAGTGCATGACAGCAGTGAGAAGACAATTCACGGATTAGTTCAATTTCGCTTTTTCATGTTTAGCTTTGATTCTTGCAAAATCTAGGATAGCACAAAATTTTTGGGACGTGGAAGTGAATAAAAAGTGTTGTACCCCCTGGTTTCTGTTCTTATACGAATATTCCACGTTAGTAATACATCGTAGCGGTGTCGCGGCCACAGGTAAGACGTCACGCAGCATTTGCGCGGGAAAAAAGCGCGCAAAGCATGCGCGCTTTGTGCGCATGGGAGACGTGTATCCTGTTGTTTTTCGGTCCACAATTTCTGCTATTATGAGATATCAATGCTTGCAAGCACCATACTTATATGGATTCTAATCGTTCTGTTATTTGCTATCATAAATTCTCACAAAAGCAGAAAAGCGTAGTACTGGAATCTTTTCTCGAACTCTCCGTTCAAAATTTCTTTACAGAATTTTTCAGAAAACGAAGAGATAAAGGCATTAAATGAATTCCAAAAAGTCCGAAAAATTCACCGTAGGAAAGTTTTTCTCCCAGTATACAAATTTTGGAAAAAGGGACAAAACTTACACGAAAAACACGCAGTTGTTGAATTTTAGCAGTGATTGTGTGTAATTGCACCAATTTTGTAATCTGCGGCCATTGACGACATGGCATGATCGTAAAGCGGCATGAAGCGACGAAAGGATGATACGAAAACGATTGCACAGTTATTTTGAAAGAAAATGCCGTACATCAAAGCTTTCGGCTTGCCATTGTAAAAAGTAGTGCAATTACACAAAGTGACTACTAAAAAATGACTGTATCAGTTAGAGACCATCCAATCAATTACGATAAGCTTGAACAATTAGTATTGTACATTCAATTCATACTAAAAGATAGATCCGCTTCAAAGTAGCCATTTCCATTTTTTGCAGCTTACCATGTGAGACCGCTTGTTTGCTGGCAAACAATCTTGATTTCTCGCTTACAGCTCGGCCATATAGTTTTTGCTTGATCTTTGCAATCTTTACAAGTACGAGTTGGCTCTATGGTAGGTAGTGTTGGCGCTGGCAGACGAAAACAGAATTATCCATATTTATGTATTGTATATTATTATGTATATGTATTGTGTATTTACATCATCTAATAGTTGAGAAAATCCTGAGAAATTTCTTCCCACTATTCTTCCCTTTCGCTCCAGGTTTCCAAGCCCTTTTTCCTCTATTTCAAATTCCTGCAACTTCTTGAAAAGTTCTCCTGCATTGGTTGATACGGGTTATGTGAAACTACGTGAAACCATAATCAATAAATGCTAACAACCTCTCACTATATTTTGCAGGAAAAAAACTATGAAGAGGAAGAAAATCAAAATCAATTTAACTTTTCAGGGTTCACAAAAGGACGCAAATCAGGTTACAATCTGATGGACTGAATTATTGAAAACTGTCAATCATCAGAGAACGAAAAAGTGTCATCTCTTAGATGACACTTTTTCGTTCTCTTTTTTATTATCAAAGCTCGCATGAAAGCGGGCGCGAAGTGTTTTGCAATCAGTCAGTGACAGGAGCTATAGCTGAGTTCTCTAAAATTTCGTTAACAACTTTCCGAATATCTCCTACTTTCTCAATGATTCCAAAAATACTAGAGAAGCCAGGAACGAAATGATACGACAAGACAAGCAAGGGATTCAAAAAGCAGTGACCTCCCTGGAATTACAACGATAGACCAGTTCTGTTTGATTAAAACACGATTAGTGCTTTTGAACATGAAACCGTAAATTTCAAAAGATGATTGAGTATCACGTAACGCATGAAAAGTGTGACATTTCCTTACAGAGAACTTAAGAATATCCAAAAATTTGCACTTTTGCAGGTCTACATAGTACAAAGCAAAATTTTTTAGCAGCACTAAAGATTAGCTATTCAATAAGCCCTGAGACACTTTTTTTGATAAAAGCTGATTCTTCAAAATAAAAAAGTTCTTACTGGTCGTCGCAATCGCCTGCTCCTTTCCTCCTCCTCCCCCCCCCGCTTGTTACTATCCTGCAAAATTCTCCCCCTACCACTGCTGCACCAATCATCCTGCTAATCTCCATCTCTTCCATCAACAAACGATCCGTCTCAGGGGCTAGAGATGTGTGTGTATCCGGACGGTTACAAAACACAATGCTGGGATGGCTACGGGTTTGGAAAATGGGCGTGGCCAGGCAACTCAAGTCATCGGCGGGGATTTAAGCTGGTCTAGGATTGCTTCAAATACGACGACGTGAGCAACTCTGACTACTCTGCTATCTAATATTTTCACATAAACATGGTTAGTTAAATATTCGTGTTTTGAAAGTGTATTTTTTTATTTTGAACTACATTTTGATTTTTTTTGGAAATTTTCCGTCATGTTAGCATTCGTTCCAAACCTTTCGCTTTCTTATTCTTGATTGATCAACCTTTAACATCTTTTTTATCAGATTTTTGAATCTATGGATGTCTAGAAAGATAATTAGTTCATGAATGTCCTAAGTCTCATTTTTTACTGAGCATCTCTACAGCAAAAACTTATTTACTTCCTTTTGATTTTTCGAACAAGAAAATAGAGAAAAAAATTTTCAAGCACTTTTTTCTTGTCTATTCTTCCCTTTTGCATCCACACTCTGCCACAGAGAGTTCTTACTTGGATAAGTGCTTCCATTTCAAATTGTAGGATGACTAGGAAAAGAATAGGCATGAACATTTACCTTTCCTCCCTTTCGATATTTTACGTGATATAAACTTAAAAGTTGAAATAAACGATGGGCTTAAAGATGTAGAGAAATCCAATTTTCTTCGTTCGGGCCCTTTCTTTATGCAAGTTCGCAATGAAATAGGCAAAAACTTTTTCCGCACTAGAGTAGCTCCCAAGACTCGAAAAGCCTTCTTTGCCTATTTTCCCGGAAATCACGAGATATCGAATCATGAATGTAGACTTCTTTACAAAAGAAGCTTCCACATCCGCTTTAGTTCTTTGCTAAGGAAACTTCCATATCCGCCCTAGTTTTCGCGTCATTCATGAAACCGCCGCCCTGTGTATGGTCTAGTCCTTCGTAATCGCTTCTAATGGACGCTTTCTGAGTTGTGTGAGCGACTGTCATAGTCTTCAGTATTTTTTGTTAGACAGTAAGTCTAGGCTATGAATAGCTAGAGACGAAATACCTGCTCCTGTCGCGGGTTTCTTGCTTGAGACGAAAAAATCTACGGACTCTCACAAAAGGCTCACTTTCAGAAGCGTAGATGGCCATCATGGAAGGTCTGAAAAAGCATTTCTTCGTGTGTTTTTATAAACTTGAAAGAAATAGTAGCTAAAAATAATGGCTCTAATTTCCAACATGTTAATGAACATCATATTGTCAGTTCCTGACTTGAAAAAAAAACTAAATTTTTTTTAGATTCGCACAACGATATTCCTGATGGTTAGCGCACAATCTGCGCTAGCCTGCTTCAACCTCGGAGGAGGTGGCGGTGGCGTTGGCACCCCGACGGTAATGTGTTGCGCTCCATCAGCTCCATCTTGTGCCCCTTCAGCTCCTCCATGTCCGTCAGGAGGCGGAGGGTGAGTGGAAATTTTTCAATTTTGTTTCGAAATGTAATTATGAAGAAAACCTCGGTAAAACGATTTTCATAGTGGTTAGAATACTTACAAAGTGTCTGTACTTTCCCCCTTGGCGCCTTTATCTTGCAATTTTTTTCAAAGATTTCTTTTATCTAGCAAAGGTGGACACTCTAATCATACCGCAGCTGCGGATCCCTCAGTCGAGGACTTTTCAAAGTGGAATTCTGTATGAAGTGAAAGGCTTCGGGCAGAGTTCACGCGATTTGATCGTCGCGATTCAATCGCTACAAGACAAGTGTTAGGCCCCGGACAGACTTCACGCGACTTAATCGTCGCGATCTAATCGCCAAGATTTCCATTCATTTTCATTTCACATTCAAAAATTTCGGGCTGGAAAACTATCACAACCGAAATGCAAGAAGATCGGCATGCAATGAACTCGCAACGCTTGTCTTGTAGCGATTGAATCGCGACGATCAAATCGCGTGAACTCTGCCCGAGGCCGAAGGCCACCAATTTTCGCAGTATTTTTTCTCTTTGAGCACCAACGTGTAGAAGTAGACCATTCTACTAATGAAAACCTGAAGGCGTTTTCGACTTGTACTCGACAGGAGATTGGGATGTGATGACAGAGAATTTCCCCTTGAAATTTTTTTTTAAAAATTGCGCATTAATTCGAGATTCAAAGTAGGAAAAATAAGAATAAGCAGCCAAAAAGCTATAGAAAGCGAAAGCGTTTGCGTGTTCAATACTTTGTTCCTTTCTAACCATTTTGAAATACTTCTACCTCGAAACAATATCAAATGTCAGAAATCGTGATTGTATCTGTCACTTCACAGAGGGCTTAAGGACATTCGAATGACATGGTGCCATTTGCCTAGCCAAGATTTATATCGAGTTCATCGACATCATTTCGTATACACTTGATCTTCTGACGTCGTTAATGCTTAAAAAACTTTAGATTTACGCATGGGAATTCAGAAGCTTCTCACATATGTTGAACAACCATAACCTATAAAAAAGTGTTCCGAAAACCAAGGACGAGTTTACCGTCAAGTCGGAAAAACAGTGTAAAGTTGAAATTGGCGCAGATGATAAGAAATGGGAATCGAGTTCCGCAAGCTAAACCAGGTGATTTGTCTGCGAGATGATTTTCATGACAAAAAGCAATCGCTTTCATATCACCAGTTCAGCCAAACCAGAAAAACATGTGACTTGCTGCTGATTAGGAAAATTCCTATGCTTTTGATTATTTTTGCTTACTATTCCCTTGTAGGTACGCAGCGCCGCCACCAGCGCCATCATATGCGGCGGCTCCTCCGCCTCCATCGTATGCCGCGCCGCCTCCGCCTCCACAGATACCAGCATATGTGGCTCCACCAGCCCCTCCTCCAGCACCTCCACCACCACCTCCGCCACCGCCTCCCCCAGCACCACCTCCACCCCAAGAATATGCGCCTCCTCCCGCGCCAGCTCCCCAAGAATACGCACCTCCCGCGCCAGCTCCACAAGAATACGCACCTCCTCCAGCTCCACCTGCACAGGAATATGCACCTCCGCCTGCTCCGTCACCACCTCCGGTACAAGTTTATGCCGTGCCCGGCCCGGCTTATGTGGCTCCTCCGCCAACGCCGCCACCTCCGCCTCCGCCGCCGCCAACACCGCCACCACCTCCGCCTGCTGCACCTATCTATGTGGCAACTGCGCCATCCTATCTTGCTCCACCCGGGCCAGAAGCCGTGCAAATGCCTAATTATATAACTCCGGCTCCGGAGCCGCCTCCCACTCCAGCTTATGTGCCTCCTCCACCAGCTCCAGCTCCAGTTCCAACGTATATAGCTGCCCCGGTATATTTGGCACAAGCATTACCAGCTGCACCAGCACCAGCACCTTCCTACGGAGGTCCACCGTCAGGTGGTGGTACATCGTATGCAAATCCTCCATCAGGCCTCTCATCATATCCAGCTCCTGCTGTCCCCTCAGGAGGAGGAGGAGGCGGTTATAAGGTGAGGAATAGAAGACGATAACAATGCAAATTCTGATTGCAATATTTCCAGAGTGCTGCAAAACTCGTACTAAAGAATAAAGAGTAGCTCGTATTACGATCTGAAGGAAATTAGGCATTAGGAAGGGTATAATTAAGTGGAACGAACTGCTCAACGACATCTCAATCTTGTATGTGTATATTGATTGAATTGCTTGTTACGCTCAAGCATGTAATCTACTTTCCACATTGTTCAGGAGCGAATGTATAGTCACTAGATTTGTTCACATTGTCTTTCAATTGTTGTTGCAATGAATTTTACGCTTATTCTGCTTCTTCCTTGGAGAGAATAGCCAGAACTGAAACGTCCAGACACATGTTACTACCATCTACATTCAAGAATAGGAATGCTTACGATACAAAAATTAGACAACGTGCAAGGCAAGCACACTTACTCCGTCACATGGTAATACAAAAGGCAAGAAATCACTTGTGACTGACACGGATTCATTTTGGCTGTTCATATCGAATTTCTTGCCGAAATCTAGAATGTTTTGAAAACCTAGATCGCTTCTATTAGCCAACTAGCTTGCTTAATATACTTTGGGAAATTCGAAATTTTTCTCGAATATTCGAATACCGAATAATATTCGAAAATCGAAATTTTCGAATATTCGACTATCGAATTTTATTCGAAAATCGAAAATTTTGAATATTCGACTATCGAATATCATTCGATATTCGAATTTCGAATATTATTCGGTTCTCGACTGATGATCGATTTTCGAATATCATTCGATTTTCGAATACTATCCGAATAAATTATGTCGAGACTATCTGTGAGGGACCAAAACATCTAAGAATAAATTCTTTTGGTAAGTATCAGGAATAGACATTTTTTCATGTTTCAATTTACCATGAAAAAACGGTTCAGTGATGATGTGAAGAGAAGGCAGCCCGGCAAAAAGATGGGTGCAGGGTTTTGTGTCGATGTTAAAGTAGGTAGTCCCCTACCTAAGCCATGACTGATGTTCGGAGCGAAAAAGGGGGCTACCAGGCCTGAAGCCCCGAAAGTGGCCCGGATCTTACGGTAGGCTCGTGAGTACGAGATGCATGCAAGGTAGAGACGCAGAGTCGTTGCGGGACCCCGCACTCATGACAGTACTGTAGTTCAGTAATTCGTGAAATTTTGAAATCTGAATTTTCAAATTCAAGGTTTGGAAACTTCAAGTTCATATTTGGAATTGAAGCCAGTGTTTGCCTGAAATTGAAGGTCGTCATCAGGTCTACTACAGATTCACCGCAGTGCTTCAACGTGCGAGCGGCGTGCCATTATCGTGTGGCGCGCGTCCCATCTACTCACGGCGCGCGTACCACTTACTCGCGGCGCGCGCGCCATTTGACGGCCGGCGGCGGGAGACATGAGGGGCCACGCATAGGGCGCGCGCGCCGCCGCAGCGAGTGTCTGAGGTGTGCGCTGTGCGTTCTCTGCCTTGCAGTTCGAATTCGCTGTACGAACGGCATTCGGACCTACCGTAAGATGGGCTATTTTGGGAGCAATTTTCAGGCTTACCAGACCCTCTTTTTCGCTCCGAACTTCAGTCACCGCATGGAGGGGGTCTAATTTAACATCGCCACAAAATTTTGGACTCATCTTTTGGGACGCTGCCTTTAAGAACCTAAAAGCGTACTTCTGTGACGTGAAGGAATTTCAACCTTCAAAGAAGATTATTTATCCTCATGAGAGTTGTGGACTGACATACAGGGGTCCCAGCGGTATGTGGATCTTTGGGCTGACATCAACCTATACTTACAGTCTGAAGCGATTTATCGGTCGCTTTTCACTGTTGTAAATTACCGTAGGAAAACCGAGGAAGGTTCTGAGATATCAAGAGCCGTTTGCTCAAGAATGAGAAAAAGAAAGGCCGATCTTATACTAGGCTTCTGAGACACTCACTACATAAAGAATTTGCACTCAACCGTAACGCCTTTTGCAACTTATGCCAGGTACACCGTAACAGATGTTTTCCAACGCTTTTCAAAAGTGAGAATGCACATTTAAAAGGTTTGGAAGCCCGTGCGTAGTTAAACATACGTAAAAACCTGCTACATAGATTTTAAATCTCTTTTTTTTTGTTGGGGAAATACTTTTGGCTGTCTCATTTCGCAGTTGCTCTATATGGGAAAGTTCATACCGTGATAACACAACAAGAAAAACATAGGTGATTTGCTTTCTGCTGCATTTGTAAGGTGAAGCCATCCCTACAAGATGTTACTTGAAGGTTGGCAAAAGACTTCGTGAGAGGTATTAGCGATTAACAGTTGGTAGATACCCTTGGGACAAGCCGTATATTTTTTGGATATCGAATATTAATATTCGGTGCTCATCGAATATTCGAATGTTCCATTTACATTGAATGATCGAATTAATGACCATCGAATATTTGACTGTCGAATAATATTCGAAAATGAAAATCTTCGAATATTCGACTATCGAATGTTATTCGAAGTCTCAGATTTTCGAATATTCGAAATTTTGAATCATTCACACTCGAAGGATTTATTCGAATAATCGAATAATCATTCGATTCGGTCCAAAGTATATTGCTTACCCGGCTCCGCGCGGTTCAGTGAAAACTATGATAAAGGTTCCACCCTTATCCGTGCAGAATCCTTCCCTGTGCCACTTCTCCATGCAAATTCCCTATCCCCGTTTTCTCAGCATGCTCACCTACCCCCCCCCCTGTGCCAACTCCCAGCCCTCTAGGTTAAACTTTGCAATAAATCGATAAAATCGATAAAAGTAATGGATGAATCCAAAAACTAATACTGTATTCGTAATCAGTATGCTCACTTACCCCCCTGTACAAACTCCCAGCCTCGTAGGTGAACTCAGCAAATAAATCGACAAAAATCGATAAAATCGACATCGATCGATGACGAAAAGTAGCTTATGACACCCGCTGGGGTGCGAAGTGTATGTGTGCCAAGTTTGGTCCAGATCGGTTCAGAAATGGAATTTTCTATTCGGAACATACGTACACATATTGATGTGGAACGCGTTGAGCCGTTGACAATTTATTAGAAAAACACAAGAGTTCCCCCTCTGCCTATCGGCGTACATGCCGAGGGTTCACGAGGAATAACTAGAGAACAACACACACAAATATATCAAAGTGCGGCGGGTACGCCGCAACCACAGCGACCATGTCGACCTAGCCTATAGTGAGCGAGCAAGTTCTAATATAAGGGACGGCTTTACAACACCTCCCTCCTAAGATGAACAACGGTACATCTTATAATAGGGATCTACTTGTAGACGTTCTGGTGGACGACGATGGCGACTTGGTCTGGTTGATGTCGGTGGCGTAGAAGAGGTGGTTTGGTGTTCAGCAGCATCCATACCATTGCTAAGTCGGTCTTCGTCGGAAGTGGACTGTGTCGAGTCATGATGTCGATCCATACTTGCTGCTCGGCGCATCTGGTTCGCATGACGTCTCCATAACTGACCGTCTTCAGTAAGCACGCCATATAAGGCTTCTCCATAGCGTTTCTTCACTCGAGCTGGAATCCATTTTTCACATCCAGGAAAATCACGTACCCATACGGCTTCTTGTGGCTGGTACGCTCTCTTTCGTGCTCCATGGTGGCGGTTGAACTGCTTCTCCATGTTTTCATTGCCCATTCCTTCTTCTTTGGAGTCTTCGTTCAGCAGCGACAGCGGTGTCCTGATCTGACGTCCCAGGAGCAGCTCAGCAGGCGAACGTTGTTCTGGAGCAGTTGTACAAGGCGTCCGTCGATAAGACTGCAGAAACTCCGCGAGCTTCTCAGCCGTTCTCCCTCCTTAATTTTCTGGAAGGTTCTCTTGAAGATATCCACAAACCTCTCCGCTTGTCCATTTGATTGTGGATGGAATGGAGGCGAACGCATATGCTTGATTCCTCGCTCTTCACAGAAATCCTGGAACTCCTTTGCTGTGAACTGCGTCCCATTATCCGACACGATCACTTGCGCATTTCCAAATCGTGCGAATAGAGATCTGAGTTCCTTCAGAGTAGCTGTAGTTGACGATGAAGGCATCTCAAACACTTCTGGCCATTTCGAGTAAGCGTCAACTACGACGAGATACATCTTACCATTCAGCGGCCCTGCGTAGTCAATGTGAAGTCGATTCCATGGTTTGTCTTCAACTTTCCATGAATGCAGCAACGTCTTCACTGGCATTTTGGAGGCTTTTTGACAATCTCTACAGCGGCGCACTGAGTCTTCAATTTCTCTGTTGATGCCCATCCAATACGCGAATCCTCTCGCGAGCATCTTCATCCTTGTCATTCCAGGGTGTCCCTCATGTAACTGCTTCAAAACTGCTTGTCTCAGCGAAGCTGGAATGACTATTCTGTGAGCGAAATACAAACATCCGTTCTGCACTGATAAATTCTCCCTCAGTGCTCTCCAGTTTCGGATTCCTTCTTTCGGCTTGGACGGCCATGCTCCCGACTGCAGCATACGTATAACTTGCGCGATGGTTTCGTCCTTCCTGGATTCTTCTTCAATCCTTTTCCTGGTTACTGGTAACGCTCGTATAGCAGCAGCTTGAACGGCTCGCACATCTTCTTCTACTTTCGCTATGACGACGTCTTCGGGAATGGCCGTGGAGGGATTAGTCGAGACAGTGCGTCGGCTTGTCCGAATTCGGTCGTCTTGCGATACTCCAAGTCGAAGTTGTATGCGAGTAGAATGAGCTTCCATCGTTGCAATCTGTTCGCTGTGTACACAGGCACCATCTTCTTAGGTCCAAAGATGTGTAGCAGCGGCTTGTGATCGGTAAGCAATCTGAACCGTCGTCCGTATATATACCGATGGAACTTACGAACTGCGAACACCAGGGCTAATCCTTCCTTTTCAATTTGTCCGTAGTTCCGTTCTGCAGCTGTGAGGCTTCGGCTTGCATGGCAAATAGCCTTCTCTGTACCATCCGGCATCTTGTGCAGAATCACAGCTCCTATTCCGTAGTCCGATGCGTCGGCAGCTACCACTATCTGCAAGTCAGGATCAAAATGTGTGAGGAGTAGATCGGAGGCTAAGACTTCCTTGGCACGCTTGAATGCG